CTAGCCTTGAGCTGAAGAGCTGAGGAACAGCGCCTAGGCCCAGAGTTCAGGCCCCACGACCGGACCCCCCCCAAAAAAAACAAAAAAAAGAAATGTACTCATTATCTTGCCCATGTAATTGTAACCCCTCTGTACAGTATTTTCACAATAAAAAAAAAAGATAAAAAAATAGGGTCTCTGCAGAGCTAATTACTTTGGATGACATCTCTGTGGATGAGGGCTGAGCCCTAAATCCAGTGACGGATATCCTGGGGTTTGAACTCTGGGCCTGGGTGCTGTCCCTGAGCTTCACTCTATCATTTAAGCCACAGCCTATTTCTGGCTTTTTTTGAGTAATTTATTGGAGATAAGAGTCTCATAAGAGCTGGCAATGGTGGCTCACGCCTGTAATCCTAGCTACTCAGAAGGCTGAGATCTGAGGATCGAGGTTCAAAGCCAGCCTGGGCAGGAAAGGCTGTGAGACTCTTATCTCCAATAAACTACCAGAAAACTGGAAGTGGCACTGTGGCTCAAGTGGTCGAGTGCTAGTCTTGAGCTAAAGAGCTGAGGGACAACGCTCAAGGCCAGAGTTCAAGCCCCATGACTGACAAAAAAGAAAAAAAGAAAAAAAAATCTCATAGAACTTTCCTGCCTGGGCTGGCTTCAAACCATGATCCTCAGATTCAGCCACCTGGGTAGCTAGGATAACAGGTGTGAGCCTGGGGCCTGGGTTCTTTTTTGTATATGCTGGTACTTGAATTAAAGTCTTCCCATGCTGGTTTAGCATTTTAGCTCCAGGCTACTACCTGAGCTAATGCTGCACTCTGGGCTTTCTGCTGGTTCAGGGAGTTAAGAGTCTCTTGGATTTATTTGCCAGGGCTGGCTTTGAACTGTGATCCTCAGATCTCAGCCTCTTGAATAGCTGGGATTATAGGCGTGAGCATGAGTGCCTGTTCTTTTTTTAATTTTTTTCTAACAAAAAGTCCAAATTCCTTCTATTTCACCCCACATCATTCTGCCCTGCAGTATGTGAACATGGGGCCGGCTTCCCTTCGGGCTTGGAGGTTTTAAGTCCTTTGAACTTCTCTTTGTACGCCACTTGCCCAGTCCAATACTGAGACACCAGTGATTTCCCCTGTCCCTGGCTAACAGGTAGTTTCTGTTGGGTGCCAGCCAATTCACAAGATGGTTCTAAAACCAGGGGACAGGGTGGTGCTTTTTAATCTGGAGGCTTCCAGGAAGTGGTGAAAGGGGGGTCTGAGTCCAGTGCCCATGACTGCCCAGTGGGGCCGTGCAAGCATGTCCCACATCGACACCAGGAGTCAGGCCCCCAAGTCCTCAGGCCCCCTAGCCGCTGCCCTGCACCTGCTCCAGGGCCCACCAGGGGCACAGTCCCACCATCCTGGGCGCTCCTTTCTCCCAGGGATCCGTGGGCCCGCTGTTCCTCTAGCAGAAGGAGATGCCTTGTCCTTGTGTTCCCACGGTTTCCATGCAAAATAAAAATAACCAAGCAGGCAGGCCTGGCATCTGGCAGCCTCGCCGTCCTGGCAGGGGGCTGCAGCGGGGGCCAGCTCGAGCAGCTGCCGATGCGTCCTCCTGGGGAGCCGGCGGGACCCCCACTGCAAGCCCCTCGAGAAGGCTTCAACGCGCACACGTGTGGGCTGCTGCCTGACAAGCCCAGCCATCACGGAGAGAGCTGGGGAGCAAAGCAAGCTGAGCTCAGAGGACGCTGTGCAGCTGTGAGGCGGCTGAGAGCTGGGCTTCTGAGAGCCATAGCTTGGGGGCCCTAGACTCCGTGGGTCACCTCCCAGGCCCCTGTGTGCCCTGTGGAAATATCACCAACAAAAGGGGGTGACAGAGCCAGCATCAGGGACTACTCCAGAAACTGAGATCTGGATCTGAAGGATTAAGGTTCAAAGTCAGCCTGGGCAAAAAAGTCTGGACGACTCCATTTCCAACTGACAAGCAACATGCTATCCTGGAGGCATGGCCATGAGGAAGAGCAAGAGAACCTGAGTTCAAGCCCCAGTACTGACACAGGCACACATGCACACACATGTGCGAATACACACAGTCCCAAAAAAGTTCAGCTTATTTCCCCCATGACCCAGCAGGTGCATCCTCGGTCCACCTCTCAAAGAGGGAAGGTGTTTGCACTGTGCAGGTGGAGAGATGTTCACTGCTCACTGGCACACAATTTACAGTAGTGAAAGACAAACCAGTACAGCTCTTGCTGTGACCTGTCCTATGGAACCAAACAATCACTGCCATAGCAAACCCAGAGGAAATTCAAACACATTGTGCTAAGGCAAAGAAGCCAGATGCAAAAGGCCTCACCCCGGAGGCCGCCACTCCTCAAAACCTCCAGGGCAGGCAGGTCCATGGGGAGAAAACGGAAAGGCTGGAGCCAGGGTGGGCAGGGCAGGCGGCAACTAGAGCTGAAAGGTGTGGGGGTCCCTTCCTCCCTCTCTTCTTCCTTTCTTGTTTTATGACACATGGTCTTGCTATGAGCCCAGAAGTTTCATAGATTTGTCTGCCTGGGTAGTTTCACATCTGGGTTGTCAGATCAGCCTCCTGACTAGGAGTATAAGCATAATCCACTAATACCCAGCATCATCCATCTTCTATTGGGAAGTTGATCTTCTATTAATGGATAAAATCACACACAAAAAAAGGTCCCCGGGCTGGGAAGGTGGCTCAGTGGTAGAGCACTTGCCTTGCATGC